TCGCCCTTCTCTTTGAGCTCTTTGAATATCTGGACGGGTTTCTCGTCCAGCTTGAGCATTCTCTCCTTATCGCCATAGCATATGACAAGGGCGTAGTTTCTCCAGTCGTCGTTCAGATGGTGGCGTTTCATGGCTGCCTGTAGCACCTTTGAGCACGGGTCGTCTGTTGAGGCTCTGAGCTGTTTGAGAGGCTCTGAAACCGGCTGCTGTGGTTGCTTCGCAGTCGAGTGTCCGTTATGAGAGCTTAGCGAGGACATTGAGGGATTCGAGGCGAGCGTTGGTGAGCGCACAGACCTCCTCTTATCAACACCACGTAGAGTGTTTGAATCCACAGGCGAATGGCCATGGCTCATTGACAGTGCCGACGCCGACGCTGGTGTCATTGTGGCTGCCGATGTTGAGGTCAATGTTGACGTTTGAATGGTGGAACCTCTTTTGGATTGGCTGGTTGGTGATCCTAGGTTGAAAGGCGGCGACGACAGCTTGTCAGGTGTCGGCAGAGGTTTAACAAACTTACCATTAGTCATGGATTCGTCATCCTTGGCCTTATTCATCTCGTCTCGCAATTCCCTAACAACACCATCGAGGCTACGTTGGAGAGCCCTTTCAACTTGGTCCAGTAACTGCTGTGTGCTCAGTCCATCGTTCAAAGACATGCCGTTGTCTATCAGCAGCCTGTTTATCTCCAACTTGATCTTTATCCTCTCGTCAATTGAAAGTGCCATCTCCTTCAAATGCTCGTCTTTGACGAATGGCAGCGTTTCGCCAGTGATGTTGTGCTTTGTGAACACGGTTATAACCTGGTGACTGAACTGTAGCTGTGTGAGCCATTGTTCAATTTCCACTGGCCCCCATTGTAAGAATGACATCCTCGACCTTCCAAGCTGTGCTGATTTCTCGAGGTTCTTGGAGGCTGCTCTATGGTTGATGGAATGTTTAGTACTCAACCTTCGTGTTCGGAATTTATAATTCTCTCGGAAGGGACGTCGGAATTGTTGACCACTGGCTACTGACCACTGACCACTGACCACTGACCACTGACCACTGACCACCGGCCACCGACCACTGACTACTGACCACTGACTACCGATTAACATAAGCGTAATCATCAAGGCCGGTTCCTATGTACACACACTAAGCCCTCTCCACATATAAACACACACCTTCACTTCAACTCCCACACGTCCTCCGAGCTTCCTCTCAACCTCTTCTCCTGTAGCTCTTCCCTGTACCAGTTCTGTACTTTCACGGGATCTGAATTCATTATACAGAATCTGAACTTGTTGAACTCCTTTACACAGTCGTTCATATGTCCATAACGGTAGTAATGTTTCAGCTGTCCTCCAACGGAGTAGCATCCAGCTAATGCATCAAAGCATTGCGTGCACGACATGGTCGTCTACCAAGCTCAGTTAGTCATGATGATCCACCACACATTCGCTGATGAAGTCACTCACTGGGAAGTCGCTGTACTCTTTGTCCATCGCTGGTGTAGTCCTGGTTTGCTGACAGTTCAGTAGCCGAGAGTACTGGGCATTAAATCATGGAGCAATGAGGTAAAGAGGTTGAAATTTTCTTCTGGTTTCGCACGTAGATGTTCCTCCCTCTCTCTGTTGCACTGTTGGGGACACTGGACGTATATGTTTAAGCTGTCTAGAGCACTAGCAATGTCTGTGAAGAAGACGGAGAGCCAATGGAGAGCTCAGCTGAGCCCCTTACAATTTGCAGTGCTGAGACAATCAGCTACGGAACCTTCCGGCCTATCAAGACTCCAAGACGGGTCCAATGGTGTGTATCACTGCGTAGGATGCGATAATCCTCTCTACAAAGCAGATCAGAAGTTCAACTCTGGCTGCGGATGGCCATCGTTCTACGAGGAGATTCCAGGCTCCATACGCCTGCTCGAGGATAACTCTCATGGGATGCAAAGAACCGAGATGAGATGCTCACGGTGTGACGGACATCTGGGGCACGTCTTCAAGGGCGAGGGCTTCGGAGGTGACAAGGACGAAAGACACTGTGTTAATGGGATTGTTCTACAGTTCAAGCCGTTGGAATGATACGTTCTATTGATAGCACTCTATAACTTCAACAATTTCTTCAACTCTCCGCTCAATTTCAACTCTTGTAAGTCAGAATTGCCTCCAATGTGCTTACCACCGATGAAGATGTTTGGCACTGTAGACTGACCCGTCAGCTCCCTCAGGTACGACTGAATCTCGGACCCTTCGTCCATCTGGTTCAATTGCAGCACGTATGGCTTCACTCCGAGCTGATCAAACGTCTTCAAGGAGGCCTGGCAGTAGGGACAGTACGACTTTGAAGCAACAAACACTTCATGGCTCTTTATGGCCTGCTGAACGGTATTAATTATCTCCTTGGACACCATCTTTGGAGGAGAGAACTGGGCTTTGACTCTTTGGATTAGTTTGAACAATATGAAAACAGCTAAAAGGATATAGATCAACTCCATACAAAAGGTTGCTAATGCTATATCGTTGCTGATGTCTATGAGCCGGGCCTTCTGTTCAAGATGGGAAACAAGCTCTCCAAGGGGGAAATTGCTGTGGCTCAGTGGGTGGAGGCCGCGGCGGGAGGCTGAGGAAGTGGCAAAAGAGGCCATGCTTACTAAGCGGTGTCCGGATGTACATGGTGTCCGGGTTTTTGTGTGGATGTGGTGTCCAGGTGTGCAATTGCCAGAGCAACGTTGATGTAAATGGTTACACAAGCTGCATCCCCCCTAAAACGTCTTAAAACCATCAACAAATCAACAGAAAAAGGGTTACAAAGGAGGAAAATGGGTGTTTTCACTGACCATCCACATACTGCAATCACCGAGAGGATCAATTCCATCATCAGAGATGAAGAATTGGACCCAGAGATTGAAATTCCAGAGCTGTTGGGCCTTATCACTCTTCAGTACTCTGGGCCAACAGAGGCAGCCAGGGCGATGAGAAAGAAGTTGAAGTACGGTAACAGCATGGAACAAGGTCGTTCTCTGGAGCTGTTGAACTTGGTTGTGGTCAACGGAGGCCCGAAGCTGGCTGAGCTATACAACGATCGGAAACTGCTGGAGCTGCTGCGCTTCATGGCCAATGACCCCACGGTGAACATGCAGTTGAGAAAGGGGATTATTGGGTATGCCATTGTGTGGAACGAGGAGTTCCAAGGTAAGAGGGAGTATGCTGGTGTCGTTAACCTGAAGAGCCAGCTGCCAAAGGCCAGAAGGGTTAGAAAGAAAAGAAGAGACGATTTCATGGATGATGAGGCGCTGAGTGATGATAACGATAGTTACAATGATGAACGCTCCACTGCATCTTCATCCTCTTCGTCTAACCGTCACCATCAGCAGCAGCAGCAGCATCAGAGACAGCAAGTAACCAGAACCACCAGTCCTAACGACAAGTACAGGATTCCAAAGATCAATTTAACAAAGGAAGGCCCAAAGATCAAGGCTTTGATCGCTGAGGCCTCCAAGTGTTCAACGGATCTCAACAATGCACTGCAATCTATTAACAGATCTCGTGGTCAATTGAGCTCAGATGATCCGAGATGTTGCCAGTTGTTCGACAAGACTCGTATTGTTAGAAGACGAATCTTGAGATACCTGCAACTGGTTGAATCTGAGGAGTTCTTGGGGTCGTTGATCCATTCTAATGAAGAATTGGTTGCTGCTCTGCAAAAGTACAGTGAATATGCATCTGTTCCGGGTCAGGACTCTACTGATGATTATGAATCTGTCAGTGACGATGACGACGATGATGATGACGACGACGACGTCCGTAGTGAGACTATCAGCGTTTCTGAATCGTTAGCCTCAAGAATGATTGAGCAACATGCCAGAAGTAAGATCTCTGCCGGTAATGACCCATTCAGTGATATTAACCGTGTTGATGAAACTGCTGGGTGGAGATGAATCGTCTCCAGTGCTCATTTTCTCCTATTCTCTACATTAATTCATTAATTCATTAATTCCAGTGAAATGTTTGTTGCAAACCTCTCCAATTTCTGCAATTGATTAACAGTGTTGGTTTTCATATCCATCGCAGTTATATCACCAAGCCAACTATTCGTCAGCTTTAATACAACGTTATTCACTGTTGATTGAGTATTGAGGACACCAAAATTGGTGGAATCACATCTGTAATTCGAGAGTAGCTGGAGCCTTGAAAGATATCCATGATGAATGACACTATCTCTAGGGAATTTATACATTATAAAGAGAATATACATTCACTAATCTCCTGAGGGGCCCTCTAGTTCTAAAAAGAGCTTATTAGTATAAGTCAAATCCATTCTTTTCGTTGAAACCTTGACATTTGATTAGTTTCCGGTATATATGAGTGGTTGAAGATGTGGTATTACCCATTAGATATGATGGTAGAACCATTCAGCCCATTTTGAACTAGATATTACGTTATAAATATAAATAATTGAAATATAATCTTCCATTATTTGGAAAAAGTATGAGTCTGATTTATATTAGAACATTCAACAGCTAAGAAGATTGATAAATAATATACAATAATCAGCAGAAACCACTAAATTATCAATCCAACATTGCAATCAATAACGTACTAGACCATATTCAACAAATCTATAATCATTTAAACCATTTTAATTATCAAAATGCAATTAGATTGAGCATATCATCAACTTGCAACAACGGTGGAAACCTCACGCTGACATAAAACATCAATACAGCACACAGACACCCTCAAAGCACGTGATACTACAAGCCAATGGTTCTTCCTGTATAACATTGGTAATTAGTGTATAATGTTATGTCTATATATATATATATTGTTTTAAACAAAATCTTTGGACAAGAGACCTAGCTTGGACATTCTCACCTTCACAGCGTTTCTGTGAGCGTCGAGGCCTTCACATTTGGCCAAGCTCATAACAGCATGGCCAATATACTTGAGACCTTCTTCAGAGACGTATTGAGCAGTCAAGTGCTTCTGGAACGTAGAGGTGTTCACACCAGAGTACTGTCTAGCGTAACCGTAGGTTGGCAACGTGTGGTTGGTACCTGATGAGTAGTCACCACATGACTCTGGTGAGTAAGCACCAACAAATACAGAACCAGCGTGATCAACGAGTGGGACATAGGAGGCTGCATCCTTGATTTGAAGGATCAAGTGCTCTGGAGCATATTGGTTGGAGAGTCTGAGTGCCTCTTCATAGGTCTTGACGAGCAAAGTGGTGGAGTGCTTGATGCACTTGCGAACAATCTCCACCCTTGGGAGCTCCAAAGCTTGACGGTGCAAGGAGTCTTCGATGGCCTTGAGCGATTCCGGTGTCAAGTCAACACCAATGAGAATGACTTGGGAATCGACACCATGTTCGGCTTGTGAGAGGAGATCAGAAGCAACAAAGTCTGGATCAGCATCGTTATCCGCAATAACCAACACTTCAGATGGACCAGCTGGCATATCAATAGAACAGAGGGCACTGGTATCGTTCTGAACGTACATCTTAGCAGCAGTAACGAATTGGTTACCTGGACCAAGAATCTTATCAACCTTTGGCACGGATTCAGTACCATATGCCATAGCTGCGACAGCTTGAGCACCACCAGCAAGGACGATACCTTGGGCACCAATCTTGTGTGCAACGTAGACAACTTCAGGAGATAAGGAGCCATCTCTTCTTGGTGGTGTAGCAAGAATGATGTTCTTACAACCAGCAACCTGTGCTGGAACACCAAGCATGATGGCGGTGGATGGCAACACTGCTGTACCACCTGGAACATACAAACCAACAGAGTCAATTGGTCTAGCAAAACGAGAACAAACAACACCTGGCTTGGTTTCCACGTTCATGGTTTCCTTATCCATCTGAGCAGCGTGGAACTTCTCAACGTTATCAATAGATAAATCGATAGCGTCTTTCAGTTCATCGCTAATGGCATACAACTTTGGATCAAATGGTGCCTTGAGCAACGGCGATTCCACAGTGACACCGTCAAATTTAGCAGTGAGCTCGATAAGTGCAGCATCACCTCTAGAACGCACAGCGTCGATAATTGGGTTAACAAGTTTCATGATATCGCTTGTTGATTGGACAGGTCTTTCAAGGACCTTGGCAACTTCATCCGGAGAGGCAGTTGCGGTATCAAGGACACCCATAAGGATCTTCTCATCCTTTGGAGCTTCTTCAACCTTTGGTGCCTCCTTAGCTTGAGGAGTGGCCTCCTTGATGAACTTTGGCTTAGCATCACCTTTTCTTCTTGTGATCTTCAAGCCCTTCAAGTCCAAGTTCTTCTCAATATCGGCGATGGAAACACCGTTCTTGACACATCTTGTCAAGGCAAAGTAGAAGAGATCAGCACACTCCCAAGCGATCTCATCCTTTGTAGTAGCCTCGGTCAACTCCTCGGCTTCCTCCTTGATCTTTGCAACGAGCAATGCTTCATCAGTAAAGAGTCTCTTCGTGTAGGAGCCTTCTGGTGCATTGGCTAATCTGTGTTGCAAGGTCTTCTCCAATCTTGTCAGGCCACCAACGTTACCGAAACAAGAATCAGTTTCCAAGTGGCAGAATCCAGTGCCAGCTTGCTTGACGACAAATTTGATACAGTCACCATCACAGTCCTTATCCAAGGACACCAACTCTTGTGTAGCACCAGAAGTGGCACCTTTGTACCATAGACCGTGACGTCTAGACTGATAAACACCAGCTTTAACTCTAATGGCCTCTGCAATGGATTCCTTTGAAGAGTACACTAGACCTAAAGAGTGGTTATAAACATCAGTCACCAGAGTTGTGTACAACCCATCAGCTCTGTCAGTCGTCAATGAACTGATAAACAAATCAGCAACATTGACTTTACCACTCTCTTTAGAAACAGTAAGCTTATCAGATTCGATGATTGGGATGAGCTGCGCAGAGACGAGTGAGTTCACAACAACAGGGGAGACATCACCTTCAACGCTAACATACACGGTCTTAGAACCGTTATCACCAAAGGATTTCAAATCACCTAATGGCAATGACGAGGAGAGGACATACGAACCAGCTGGATACTCGGAGCTGTTCTCAATCTTGGACAACTGAACAGCGATTCTTGAAGAAGGAACGCCAGCATCAACCAATTCCTTGTACTGCTCCTCAGTGGCAAAGATCTCAGCAACACCACTGTTAAGCAGATCAATGACAGTTTGAACGTCAAAGGAGGTCAATTGGACCAAGGTAACACCAGTCTGAACAGAGATCTTCTTGTAGTCATCAACACTGGACACTTCGAACAAGGCACTTCCAACAACGGAAAGGGCCTTGATTTGCTCTTCAGGAGCACTGGATCTGAAAGATGGAAGCACTGGAAATGGCATCTCTCTTTCTATTTCAATAACAAACAATGGACAGTTTCGAAAGCTTTATCAAGCACGAAGAGAAAATGTTGAAGGTCATAAACATTTTAAGTGAAAAAAAAAAGTTCTCAACCCCGGGTTGTCTGACTCATTTTCACCCGTAATTACCCGATCAGGGAAATCGACTAATTAAGAAAAATGCTTACGTAATCACGGAGGACATATGCAGAGATGCCTGTATGTACTTTTAACCACTTCAAAACACATCATTCTCAAAGGGACAATCAATGCTATCGTGTCCGTGCCTTTCACACAAACCACACCATTGCTTGCGTCCGTTTGCTGGGTCCTTTTTCTCGGGAACGTAGACTTGTAGAGCTCCATCTATAACTTGGGAGATAATACTTGGTCTCTTTTCACCAATGTTTGTGTTGTGGGATGAATCTTCACTTGAAGATGACCCACTTCTTTGGTTAATGTTTCTGAGCAGGGGCGATTCGGGAACAGGTGTAGACGGGTTACTCTGTTTCAGCTGGGTTTTCAACTGGTAAATCTCCTTATCCTTGGTCTTACGATCAGACAGACGTAGTTGACCAAGTAGCTCTAATTCGGATTTCAACTCTTGAACTTCCTCCGTAGTTGGACGGTGTAAGAGTTCCTTTTGGAGGAGCTGGATCTGCTCTGAAAGTTCTTTGTTTGTGGTTTGCTTATTCATCTGTTTCCAAGTCTCCAACTCCTTACGAAGCTTCTCGACTTCGACAGAATGGTCGGTGGATTTAAGCTCTGCTAATTCCTCCTTTAACAGCTCAACTTCGAGTATCTTTTCCTCCAAAGCAATATTTTCACTAGATTTAGTAGTCACTGGTGAGCTCAGTTGAGTCAGTTGACTCTCCAATTGTCTGATTTGTTCATCCTTTGAGACAAGGTCACCCTCAAGCCGTTGGGTTGTAGCTTCTAACGCTACTACTCGTTCCTTTTCAATGAGATTCATACATAGCTTCTCCTTCAACACTTCAATTTCCTCTTTTGCGCTATCTAACTGAGAGTGCTCCACTTGTGTTGATTTGACCAACAATTCTTTCTCCTCAAGAGTCTTCTTAGATTCAGACAATTGTTTCTCAAGTTCTAAGATCCTTTCTTCAAGAGCCTTAGACTTGTCTGCTTCTTGTACTTCAAGTTGTAATTTCTCATTGGCCATTTGGTCTTCTTCCAACTTATTCAACTGTGATGATAGGTTATCTATTTTAATGTCCTTCTCGTTCAATTCAGTTTTCAACCTTTCTAGTTCGTCATCACTATTTCCCTCAGCGTCATCACTTGGTGCGTTCTGAAGTTCCTCTACCAGAGACCTTAGATCTGCAATAACGTTATCCTTGTTCTCCAATTTGAATTCAAGCTCTTGAACCTTATCGTTGACAGTGATAATCGTTAATTGTTTTTCCAAATCTTTGATTTTCTTGGTTAAAGTTGAGACTTCCCTCTTGTGGTCATCTTCTATAGTTTTATTGACAGACGAATTTGAAAGCTCAGCACGTAACTCGTCGAGTTGTTTATCCCTTTCATCAATTGTCTCTTTCAACGACTCATGTAGCTTGACATATTCTTCCAATTTGGAATCTAAGCTTCCCTTATCATTGATGTAGTTCTCTTTCAAAGCTAAATTGTTTTTGTTCAGTAGGTCTAGCTTCTCCTCTTTTTCAGAGACATCTCTTCTTAAATGCTCAATGGCCTTCACTTGCGTCAAGTTTGTCAATTTCAAATTCTCAACTTCTGATCGAAGTTTATTTAACTGTTCATCACCGCAGATTTGAGAAGAATTCTTCTGTTTCTCATAGAGTGTTTGTAAATCTTTCAACTTGAGCTGTAAATCATCTATGATCTCCTGTTTCTGTGAAAGTTCATCCTGCAATTTCTTCATTTCACTCACATAGAGTCTTTCATTGTCATTCACCTGGGCCTCAACTTGATCAATAACCTCCAGGAGTTCTCTTCTCTGTGTCTCATATACCCTTCTTTGATTTACGAGTTTATCCTCGGAAACTCTTGCACGCTCATGCGCTTCTTCAACGATTTTAGTTGTCTCATGGTAACTCTTTTGTAGCTCTTCAAGCAACTCGTTGTTCTTATCCAAAGAGTTCTGAGTTTCTTGTAGTCTATGTCTAAGTTCAAGCGTTTCCTTGAGTAAATTGTCACGTTCAGTCTCAATGATAATCTTCGATTGAGTTATTCTCTGTATTTCACTATCTGTTTTCTGTTGTAATGATGGCGACATCACTGATATTGGTGACATTTTCTTCACACTTGAGCGGTTTGAAGTCTTAATGGTCAGAGGGGGCGTGGAATTATGTGCTCTGCCATTCACAGGAGAAGTGAGAGTGGAACGCCTCATTGAAGGAGTTCCATTGAGAACAGACAACCTTGGGTTTCCCTTTGAGTGCGATCTCTTCAAATCCTCAGAGATGAACGGGGAAGGAATCGCACTCAGCCGTCTATTCTCCTTGCCACTCTGTGGCAACGAGTTTCTCAACTTGTCAAGCGGCATAAACAACCCAGAGCACGGTATCTTTGTGGTGAAGTACTGGTCACCTTGGAAGTCACCGCTATTCTTACCCATCTGTGGCTTTTCCACGAGTTCTAGCCCCGCAAAGATACCATTCTTGCCCTTGACTGGACCAACGTAGCGTAGAATCGTCTTACCTGTGGAAGGTAACGTTACTGTAGCCCCAACAGAAAGCTCGGAATGTCTAAACAGTGGCGTAGGCGTACTTGGTGCCTCAGAGTACCGTCTCATTCTTCAAAATCCAGGGGAAGATAACAGGCCGTGTTTAAATTCTCAAAGCGGTTAAACCAATTGATGCGCTTCAGAAGAACAGTAAATGATTCCTTTTAGCAGCGGAAAGCTCTTTGCAATGTGCAAAATGAACGCGAATGTTGATGTTTTTGTTATTGTTTGTTGGTGTTTTTGTTTTGTTTTCGTTTTTGTGTATTTTTCAAAATTCCTCTGCTCTGCCTGGAATGTTGTCGGGGTTACCACGCGTTTAGCGTGTCGGTGTGCATTTCCAGTTGAAACGCTTTCTTCAGACTGGAGAGAATTTATGCACAATGGGAGCTGAAAAGGTGGAAATTGAGCATGGAGACAGCTTCAAAGGTGCTTAAGTTAACATGATCTAAGCTTATTATAGAGAAATTGAAATGATTAACCATGAAACAGGAAATGGAAAGCTACCAATTATGTATGCAATTATAACAATTCTGAGTGTAAATAAGAGCATATAACGACAAACAAGAAACATCCGTGATAGTTTAGTGGCTAGAATTACCGCTTGTCGCGTGGTAGACCGGGGTTCAATTCCCCGTCGCGGAGTATTTTTTTCCAGC